GAGAGAGAGAGACGAGAGAGAGAGAGAGAGAGACGAGAGAGAGAGAGAGGCGAGAGAGAGAGGGACGAGAGAGAGAGACGAGAGAGAGAGAGAGACGAGAGAGAGAGAGAGAGAGAGAGAGAGAGAGAGAGAGAGAGAGAGAGAGACGAGAGAGAGAGGGACGAGAGAGAGAGAGAGAGAGAGAGACGAGAGAGAGAGACGAGAGAGAGAGAGAGACGAGAGAGAGGGACGAGAGAGAGGGACGAGAGACGAGAGATGAGAGATTTTGTTTCTGCCTGCCTGCCTCTGCTTTCCCTCCCCCCCCTCCCTCCCGCAATCAAGTGTGTGTGAGAGCGCACGAGCGCTTTTGTGCTTGTCTTTCTGTATCCCTGTCTGTGTCTCCGCATGCCCCCCTCCCGCAAAGGGACGCACGCACGCCAAGACTTTTCTCCCTTGCCGTCCCTGCAAGGACGAACGCCCGCACGCCCTCACCCGTCCCCTCCATCGCCTACCTGCTGCGCTGCCGCCAAGCGGCGGTCTACAAAGTCGCCGAGTTCTACGGCAGCTGTCGCCACGAACCCCACCCACCCTTGGCGATGTCGTCGGGTTCCAGCGACCGGGTAGACCTGGAGGCTCCATAGGGGGCACGGGCAGGTAGACCGGGAAGCCCTCCGTCCTGCGTAGTAGACCGGCAAGCCGCAGGCTCTCCGGCAGGTAGACCGGGAGCCCGGCGAGCAGACTGGTCCAAAACGGGAAAAAACACCCCCCCCATCCCGGAGGTAGACCGGCACGCCCCAGCCTCCCGGGACGGTAGACCGGAGGGGAGCCGAGGGCCGGGAGACCGGGCAACGTCGCCTGCCCCGCCCCTCCGGCGGGTCGACCGGGAAGCCTCCCTTCCTCGGGGGTAGACCGGCAGGACCCAGCCTCCCGGGACGGTAGACCGGAGGGGAGCCGAGCGCCGGGAGACGGGGCTCACCGAGGTCCGGCGCCCAGCAGACCGCCCAGCGGTTCCGCGCCGTACGCCAGGTAGCCCGGCAGAGCCGCGCTTTCCGGTGGGTAGACCGGGAAGCCCCCACGATCTCGGAGGAAGACCGGCAAACCCCAGCCTTCCCGGCCGGTAGACCGGAGGGGAGCCGAGGGCCGGGAGACGGGGCTCACCGAGGTCCGGCGCCCAGTAGACCGGCCAGCTGTCGCGCGCCGTGCGCCAGGTAGTCCGGCAGAGCCGCGCTTTCCGGTGGGTAGACCGGGAAGCCCCACGATCTCGGAGGAAGACCGGCAAACCCCAGCCTTCCCAGCCGGTAGACCGGAGGGGAGCCGAGGGCCGGGAGACCGGGCTTCCCGAGGTCCGGCGCCCGGTAGACCGGCCGGCGGTCGCGCGCCGTGCGCCAGGTAGCCCGGCAGAGCCGCGCTCTCCGGTCGGTAGACCGGGAAGCCCCACGATCTCGGAGGAAGACCGGGACCACCCAGCCCGCCCACCTCCGCCGACAACAAGACCGGGCAGCCGCTCCAGGCCCACCGCCGTGTGGACCGGCGTTTGCCGGGCCCAAGGAGGGTAGACCAGGAAGACCTTTCTCCTCGGAGGTAGACCTGGAAGCCACAGGCACTGCGGCGAGCAAGCAGGCAGGCAGGCAGGCAGGCAGGCAGGCAGGCAGGCAGGCAGGCAGAGCCTCGCTTTCCGGTGGGTAGACCGGGAAGCCACGACGATCTCGGAGGAAGATGGGCAAACCCCAGCCTTCCTGGCCGGTAGACCGGAGGGAAGCCGAGGGGCGGGAGACCGGGCAACGCCGCCAGCCCCTCCGGCCGGGAGACCGTACTCACCGAGGTCCGGCGCCCAGCAGACCGCCCAGCGGTTCCGCGCCGTACGCCAGGTAGCCCGGCAGAGCCGCGCTTTCCGGCAGGTAGACCGGAAAGTCTACCGTTCTCGCAAGACCGGCCAGAGCCCCCCCCCTTCGAAGGCAGGTAGACCGGGCAGCGGCTCCAGGCACGCGCGCCCCCCGCCTAGTGGACCGGCGCCTCCCGGCCCCATGGAGGGTAGACCGGGAAGCCGTTTCCTCCTCTTAGGTGGACCTGGAAGCCCCAGACCGTGCGGCGAGCAAGCAGGCAGGCAGGCAGGCAGGCTGGCGGGGAGGGTGGCCGTCCGCTCCCTGCCTTCCAGGTAGACCGGGCAAGAGCCTGTTCCTTTGTTTAGGAGCGCTGGTCAGGCGGCAGGCAGGCAGGCAGGCAGGCAGGCAGGCAGGGCGTGGTGTGGTGTGGTGTGCGTGGACGCGAGGAGCCCACCGGGCCTGACACCGAGTAGACCGGCCAGCGGTGCCGCGCCGGACGCCAGGAAGCCTGGCAGAGGCGCCCTTTCCGGCAGGTAGACCGGGAAGGCCCACGATCTCGGAGGAAGACCGGCAAGACCCAGCCTTCCCGGCCGGTAGACCGGAGGGGAGCCGAGGGCCGGGAGACCGGGCTTCCCGAGGGCCGGCGCCCAGTAGACCGGCCAGCGGTTCCGCGCCGTGCGCCAGGTAGTCCGGCGAAG